GACTAGAAAATTTCGGGCAATATGTTATGGCAACTGATGGCCGAGGTAAAGTCTTTTGCGGTGAATTTATGAAACGCATTTTCCTCGGGTGGTCACTGCCTAGAGTGGCTCTTTTCCGGCGACAGAAGCCGGCTGGAAAGGACGGGAAAAAGGGGGTTCGCTTGCGCAAACTTTAAATAAACAATAAAAAATTGCGTTTGATTTGCTTTATGGTGTTTACACTATGCCCAGTGCCTTGTTGTGCGTTATTGTGTGTATACTGTACATACATACCTGTACCTCATTTTGAGTGAATGCGAGTGGGCGGATGCTTAATTAATTTTTGCTTCGTAAAATCCTCGATCCGGCCGGGCTAAATAAATAAAAGGTGTAAACGTATTTAAAGGCCAAAAAAGCAAATCGGTAAATGGTGAGTGCGGAGCTGAATCACAAAGTTCTGCGGCGGAAAAATGTCAGAAACGGTCAAAGTTTCAACCGCGGGAAAAGTGGGCGGGAAAAGCAAACGCAGGTATTTCACTTCGCGTCATGCCGCAAATAATTGATTTAAGTTTTAAAAATATTCCCGCACTTGCGCCATACAGCTGCTATTAAACTTGCCTGAAAATGAACCTGAATAAACATGAAAGTACTCATAAATATATGTATAAATATTCGAATATTCGGTACATAAGCATATGTGCTTTTATTTCTGTGTACTCTGTTTAATGGGATTTTCAATGAGGTAATTCTGAATCAGTGTGCACTGAAAAATTTGTGTTAAATCAATGATCTAATGAGTGGATAATGGTCGTGAGTCGTGAGTGAATAACGAAAGGGATATGTGAATCAATCATAAAGCGATTAACATTTCTGTTTGAAAGATAAGAACATACAAAACCAAAAACACCTTCCAAGTAGGTGTTCCCAGAAAATTATTCAATTAGATCTTTCTTATATATATGTGCATACAAATGTGCATCAAATTTTCAAGAATGTTATAATTTATAGTTGGGGCTTCTTTGCCAGGTTCCTTTTTCTCAAAAAATTCCTTTAAGTCAACTCTGTCCCCAAAATGTAAATTAAATTAGTCACTTCCTTTGTTTTGTAGTTCCATTTTTTAAAGTCGAGATAAGGTAAATTCACTTTCTCTACATTTATCGAAACAGTCCAGACGAAGAAAAAGAAACTTTAAAGTATCGTTCCCTGAATTCGAGTTGGGAGCTAATTTATTTTGCGTTGCCATGACTTGAATCGATTTAAATAAGTCAAAAAAATTAAAAATAATATTCTCCTGCGGGTTGTTCGTTTCCTTTTCAAAACTTTATTGGGCATTGTTGTGGGAAATTTTATTTAAATTCCAATCATCTTTTAAAATCCAAAGGTACTAGAAAATTGAATCGCCATGATTGTTAAATTAATTCGGTTATTAAATAAAGAATAAAGTAAGCCACCGCCACAATATTCATTCACAACTCTCTGAAATCAAAGCCACTCGACTGAATCCGTGCTTTTTATGGCGTCTCTGATCTCCCGTTTTAATGCAAATTCATAATCTTTACCTCAACTAATGGAAAAAGTGAAAATACATATGGGAAATGAGAGGAAAATCGGATAGCATGCACTCGGGAGGAGCGTGCACTGCAACGGAAGAATATGGAAGCAAATACGGATACGGGGAAATCCGAATACTCGGATTCAGGGATACTGAAATATGCCAATGCCATTCCCAATGTCAGACACTGATATGGGATGCGTAATGAACTCGTTCACTTCTCATTCCCACTCTCGCGTAGCCCCTTTTTTTGTGGCTTGGATACTTTAACAATATCCCCAAGCCCACCATAGCCCATTTTGCCCGTCCTGCCTGTCCTTTGGCCAACATTTCACAGTTCGCAGCCCTCAGCTTTCCAGATAGCGCCCTGCACACAATTCGCATATTGTTGTCATATTGTTGGCCCCGAATTCTCCAAAAATATATGTGTAGCGGACAGTGGTATAATTTTCCTTTAATGTTGTAAAAAAAATCTGGAACTTTTTATAAGAAAGTTATAATTGGTCAATAATGATTTTTAGTAAAAAGTTTCATATAATACAAGTCTCAATAAAAAAAACTTTTTTTTTAAGTTTTTAAAGTTGATGAACTTAATTGATATTTCTTAAAGATATATTTTTATGTCGAGTACTGATTATTTTCTTTTTAAAATTTTTATGTTCAAAATTAAAAACATTTTAATGTAGATATAGTAGAACAACCAATAATAGTTTATATTTTTCTATGTTCCTTGTGTTCTGTAGGTTACGTTAGCCTAGTTAACCTAAGTTCTGTAACTGCTTTCTGAAAATAATGAAACTTTTAAGCAATGTTTGTCCACATTAGTCTACTTTTTTACAAAATTGTAGAAATTAGTAAATAGTTTATCAAACATGAACTTCTGAGCTTCTTTACCCATTATTTCCTCAAACACAATTAATACCTACAGAAGTCCTATGTATAAGCTTTAAGGCACAAAATATAAAAAACTCAATTAAAAAATATCTGTAGAGCTAAAGACACTTTGCTCTACGCTTGTAACTAATGAAAAAAAAAATTAATTAGAATTAATTAGAATGAATTAATTAATAAAAAATTAAAATATATTTTAAAATCAAATATGAAGACCATTTGCTGTTGAAACCCATTGCAATGCATTGTGGACTGTGTATGTGTTCTTCCAAATTCCCAATCCACGGAACGAGACCTACAGGCAACAATGGACATGCTGCATTGTTGCTTTTGTTGCCAGTTATTATTGTTGTCATAGCCGCCCTGGTTGTTTTTGTTGATGTTGGTGTTGTTGTTGTTATCAACCGGATATGTCACTGTGTGCATATAAATCGCATTTAATTTATTGTAAATCGGATTAAATTACCAAACGTTTCACGCATGCACGAACCGAGTGGGCGCGAATATTACCAGAAAATGGGAATGTCCCGAGATGAAATGGAAAGGATTCAGTTACAGGGACAATAATAGAGTCACCAGAATTTTTTTATATTAATTAAATTATTTATAATGTTTTTCAAGCTTCTAATACTTTCATAAAACTTTTATCACCAAATATCTTCAAGTTAAAGAAATGTTTCTTAATTTTTTTAAATATTTACAGCATAAGACATACATACATATGTAGGTCTTACATATATTTTTTTAAAACTTCAAGAAAATGAAAATTTAATGTTATGTTTGTATGTTGAGGAAGGTAAACACAATCATCTAAACGTGTACCTTTGTCTGCCCTAAACATTATCCCCTTCTCGTCCGGCCCCTCCTAGGATGCTAAGTCGCAGACTGTGCAGCAGCTTTTGGCCCATAGCCGTCTCAAGACCCATTAAATGTGGCCAAAAGCGGCTTATTAACTAAACAACCCGCAGAGAACAAGCTTACGGAACAACAGTGCCCTCAATAATAGCCGCAAACGGACACACACATCAGACATAAATAGAAACTTTAAATAAGGACAAGAATGAATGACAAGGATACGGCAAGCTTAAATGTGATATCCGACTAAGAAACTCGGTGATGGTCGAAAATGCCGCGATTAACCTAAGAGCTTAGGGCTCTATCTAATAATTATTTTCAATAATTACCAATTTTTTCACTTTTAGGGAGGTCTTTTCGTCTGATATTTCAATGTCACAGCAAATTTTTAATTTTTTTTTTATTATGACAGGTGTGGTTTTATTTAAAACTGTCCAACAGGGACAACCATTTAATATTGTGGCAGAAAACTTGGCTTATGTGTAAGTTAGAGGTGGAAAAGTAAGAAAGGGTAAGAGTTATTCCGGATGAGGTCCAGCGGGTGAGTTCTGCGCAGCCGCCGCATATGTTCGCTGTTGTCGAGGAGAGTGGTCGCCAACTCGTTGGGGTGGTTGTGTAGTCTCTGGATGTACTTGCTGCTGCTTCTTTGGATCTCCTCCTTCACCCATGGGAAGCCAAGCACCTCGTGGATTGTCTGGTTGTCGTGGTAGACGTGGGCCACAGTGGCGATACGGAGGGCTCTATTTTCAAGCGTCTGGATAGTCTGAATATTAGTCTTGCTGGCCGTGCCCCAAAGTTGGATCCCGTATGTCCAAATTGGCCGAATAATCGCCTTATAGATTAGGATTTTCAAAGAGGTTCTTAGCTTTGACCTCCTACCCATCAGCCAATAGTACGCCTTCAATCTTACTTCACTCTGCTTTCGCTTTTTGACTAGGTGAGGCTTCCAAGTAAGCCTCCTGTCTAGCGTGAAGCCCAGGTATCTTGGGTTTTCTACCAAGGTACCTAATCTAATCTTTTTCTAATCTAATCTTTTTCAAATCTTAATAAAATTTAAGCAAATTTAATTTAAGATTATAGATAACATAAGTAGTGCTACAAAAAAAAGTGAAAGAATTTTTAAAGTGACATAGGAATTTCTTATCTGGTCGAATATAACACAAAACCCTGCTAAAACCATTACTAACACTAATGCGGTAAAATCATATCAATGTATTGGGGTGCCGACCACTGCTTTAAAAGTTTAAAAGCACTGTTGCACTGTGTAATTTAATGTATAAAGTAAAACAAGTTTCGACAGTAGATTAAGACAAGAGAGAGTCTGAGTGGTTTGAAGCAAGCCCGGCCAAAGGGATGACCAGCGAACACGGACGAGGCATACCCCGACCGTAATCGTATCTTTTAATGCACATTTCCATGGCTCATAAACGAATCTGTTGCAATATAGATGGTCGGACGGTGGTGGGTGGATGGTTGTCGGATATTCCATCTTCCGCAAAAGAGGCCGTGGTTGTGTGCCTGATGAAAAATCTGTATTGTTAAATACTAAGAAAAATCTCAAGTGGACCGGACTGCTATTCCTGTGTCGATTGCGCCGATTTACGGTTGGCATTTTGGCTTTGAAGTTCCGCGTGCCGTATGCAAAGTCCATTAAGCTTTCAGCATGTCTCATCCCGTCTTGAAGTATCTCCCACTAATTTTGCTACGAATTTATCTCCCACAGCCTGCGAGTGCCATCCGATCGGCTCATCTGGAAAGATCTGCAACAGCACCAGCGGTCAGTGCCCTTGCAAGGACGGCGTCACGGGACTCACTTGCAACCGCTGTGCCCGCGGCTATCAACAGAGTCGCTCCCACATTGCCCCCTGCATCAGTAAGTAGAACCATAGATATACCTTGTTTAGTTTCTTGGAAATAAAAATGGCATCGTATACAATATAAGTAGTTTATTATAAAAAATATAAGTATATTATGCTAAGACATATTTCCCCCTGACATCTATGACAAAACTCTTTCTAAATGTTTGGAGAATATCACAAAATTTTAACTTACGACTACTCAATCCGTTAAACAAAATAAAAAATACGTTCAACCTACTACCGTACCTTCCACAGAGCAACCGCCTAGGATGAGCAATATGTTGGACACCCAGAACACCGCCCCCGAACCGGATGAGCCCGAGGCTTCCCACTCAGGTGGCGCCACCGCAGCGGCAGCCGCCCAGTCCCCATATTATCGCTCCGAAGGCGGCAGGGGTAAGTAAGTGCCTCTTCTCATACCCATAACTGTTGTGTTTGTGTTTGCGTTCCCGTTTCTGTTGTGTATTCTAACTTGCCACATGCCACGCCCTTTTTTTCCCCAAAAAACTATTTATTTTAGCTTTTCCGTGTATCAGTGAATTCATATTATGCACAACAATAATACAATTCTAAAAATTTTAATTATAATAGTGAGAAAAGCTTCGACGAGTGAAAATTATGATTTAATGTGAACTGTTTCATTGTGCGAGTCGGACGAGTCAGATCCTTCTGCCTCTGCCTCGGCCTTGGCCTGCTGCTTGGCTCTTCTTCCGGATTCACAATATCTTTTTTGTGAATATCGGCCAGAAGCGGCTCCTTGTCCGAAAGAGAGGTTCTCTCGCAGAACTATCTGGGTTGAAGCAAATCTCGTAGGCCGAGAAAGTGGAGTGTTTAATAAAGAGCTCTGGAATGAAACGGGCGAAAATTTATAGCTTCAATTGGTCTTCCGGTAGGCCTTCCATTACACCAAATGCGATGCGTCCAGCGCTCCAGCAACTAATTATGTGGTACACCTCAAACTCGGTCCGCATCACATTCAGAGCGACACATTTTAATGACTCTTTGGGTTCGGTTTTTTCCATTCTAGTTTTTAAAAAAGTTTTTAATATTCCAATTGTCTATTCTTTTTTATTATAAATGGCTACATATTTCTGATATCACTCCATAAAGTATATATATGTATTCGTGATCAGCATTAACAGCCGAGTCGATATAGCCATCTCCGTCTGTCCTTCCGTCCGTATGCATGCGTGGTAGGGTTTCGTCGAACTGACAGACACAAGGTGCAAAGCCACGCATCTATGTATGTACATTCTAGAATACAAAGTCCAGACATCTCACTCGCCCTCCATCTGCTTTGCTCGTGCCTTTATGATAAGTGTCATATAAGTGGTATCTCAAGACAAAAGCAACACAGACTTTTGACTAAGATACCACTAATATCCTCTGAAAAAGAAGATAGTTTTCTCAATACCCTTTCAAATGTTTTTTTTTGTTTCAAATTTGTTAAACTTGATTTGAAAACAACTTTCTACATTTTTTAATATGAACTAAATTTTCTTCAACACATAATTTGATTCGTATTTGATTCATAATTTGATTATGTGAAAAGTATTGGATCAAATCCAAAAACCACACATAACATATATTACATTCTATGTTCTAGTATGTAAGTAATGCTACTTTATTGAATATTATTTATAATCAATACCCAACTATTACATAGAAATTATACCGATGGCTGTCAAAACGCGAGGAAACAAATTGATTTCTTTTTTCCGTATTTAAAATTTTTTTTTAAATAAGCACCGTTCAGTATTTATAGTCTTAAAATTTAAGGAGACATTATTTTTATACCCTTGCAGAGGGTATTATAATTTTGAAGGAGACGTATCCGACCCTATAAAGCAGTGGTCGGCACCCCAATACACAGATATGATTTTAACGCATTAGTGTTAGTTCCGAATAGCAGAAAGTAGTCTGTGAGAATGATGTTTCACACATTTACACTATATCTTATAGACGCCATATAACTGAACGATCGGAAATGGTTTTTGGTAGAAATACCAACTTTGGTATTTTTGAAGATAAAAGTTTGGGACGTTTTTTTATGATTTTATTATGATACTCATAAGGATCGGCCAACTACAACTTGTTGTTTAATACTTTAGACAAAATTGTCCGAAAACTAATTAGTCTTTTGAATCTATTATTTTCAAATAGTAAATAGGCTTAGTAAATAGGCACTTAGATGGGGAAAAAAACGTATATTTCTTTTTAAGTAAAAACAAGAAGAAAAGCTAACTTCGGGCGGAGTCGAAGTTGATTAGCAGATCCTTATGAGAATATGATAATATAACCCAATTCATTATAATACAAAATCTAAAAAAAAAAGTTGGTATTTCTACCAAAAACCATTACCGATCGTTCAGTTATATGGCAGCTAAAGGATATAGTCGGCTGATCCTTATGACATTAGGTAGATCGGATTATCTGACCAAAAATAGAATCTGTACGAAGTTACAGATGACTATCTTCAAAAACACGAAAGTTGGGTTATTTCAGATTGTTCAGTTATATGGCAGCTATAGGATATAGTCGGCGGATCCTTATGAAATTTGGCATGTCGTATTATTTTGCCATAAATAGCTCTCACGGGTGTGTGCAAAGTTTCTGTCTGCGTTGTACTCTTTTGACCAAAATTATAATACCCTCTGCAAGGGTATAAAAATAACGGCACAGACAGATTTGCCTAACAATAGAATCAGGGCAGAAAGGTGGCAAGTCTTAGTTAAGTAAATGTGTAAAGAAACTTTTCATTTAATTTGCATTGGTTAAATAGCAACACCGTCCAACGCATAGTGGCGCGGGCGCAACGCTGTTCGGATCTACTGTGACAGTGGCATTTCTAATTGCTTGCATTAGAAATTGCTTAAGGCATTAAGCAATAGTCGGCGTGGGCAGGGGCGTGGGCGTGATTGTAGTTGGGTGAGGGTCGACTTGTGCAGCTGGAAGTGGGAACAATGACAAATTAACTAAGCCCCTTAAGCGGCCACGGTGCAATCGTAATAGGGATTAGTCAATGCCAAATGGTCAGTGTAAAAAAATTTAAATAAAATTGAGTTTGGAAGCTTTTATCTCAGACACCCTTTTGTTATTTGCGAAGTAATATTTCACGGCACAGACCGTCAAAAAATGGGAAAAACTTTCAATAAAATCGTATAATCTCAAGAAGGTGGCTTTTATTTCAACGTCGCGGGAAAAAAATTTAAATTTAAATGAAAATGAAAATGTGAAAAAACATGTATAATTTTTGCAGACGGGAGGCGTTCAACCGAGCAGACTGCAATTGTTGCATATCAAGTTGCCTGCGGCTCAAGATGATATATTCGAATCCTTATTCCTATCCTTATCCTGGGCCATTCATCATGCCGAAAATGCAAATCAAAGTGCAGACGCAGGATAAAGTGGCCGCGGGAAGTGTGTTTAAGGCATACTCCCAAAGAGAAAGTTGTAAAAGTTGTCAGTCCAAAGTTTTCCTCCACTTCTCTGTAACCAAGAACTGAGTTGGCCAAAAGCGAAGCACGTACACGTAGACACATAGACAGAGCCACAAACACGGCTAAAAAGTTTAGCTCCTTACTATTCATGGAGGGGCGGTGCGGGCTCCAGGATCTCCCTCTGCTGAATGATAATTATGAATTTATGATTTGATAATCTTATTAAATTAATTTAAAATTCTGTTCAAGTTTGAGTTAATTTAAAGTTAGTTGCCGCCCGCCACGCCCGACACAGTCAGTTAATGTCATGTTATAAATTCTTTAATAGTTATTGTAAACACCCAAGTCTGTGGGTCTTGTCTTTAGTAACTCACTTATTTGCTTGTCTGACTTAAACAAACAACCTTTATTCATATTTTTCAGCTAATGGCTTTAATTATTGACGAATAATCCATACACATCTTTTTAAGGGGAAAAAAAATAGTTCCATTTTACGAACTTTAAATTGATATAGAGGATGACCACTCAATCAAAAACATTGATGAATTTCTTATTGAATATGTGGTTAATTGGCAGCTCATTTTCTCTCAGTTAGCTCTACATAGATAAAAGCCAATTTAGAAATAATTATTACCATCTGAAAATTAATTGCGCATTATTATATTTCCTCGGAAACATCTTTATTTAAGGAACTAAGACGCCTACAATTTTTTTCCTTGAGCATTCAACTTGGCACCGATGTTGTCCCACATAAATACCCGGTGTAAATATGTGAATGTTTGTGCTATGGCTATAAGGGAAATACCTACAGAGTGAGTCAGTGATATCACAATTAGTTTTTTTTTCCTTTTTTAGATATGTTTGTAAACGTCAAGGCTTAAACAAAAATTAAAGTTAAAAGTAGTTCGTAGGACAAGCAAAAATCATATTTGTACATTATAACATATTACTCAATATTCCATTAAGCTAAGGTATCATTAAAAAATTTAAATATTGTTCATAATTCCGGACAGATTTTAAATGTAACTTTTGAATGATTGATAATAAAAAAAAAAAAAGATATGTTTGTGGGCATTTGGGGCAGTGATTTTAAAATAATTTCAATTAATCGTTCGAATAAGAAAGCAGGCAGAGAGAGTTTCAATAAATAGCCATTTAGCCAATAGCCAATAGCCAAACCATTTAGCCATTTCACTAAAAACTTACGCCTTCTTTCATAGCGAATGATTTTACATAATAGTTTCAAATTGAGCAACGTGCAGCCCGAGGAAAACGAAGTTGTGGCTAATCTTAGTCGATAACTTTAACTTTAGCCTCAAGTATATTACACAGAGTGAAATATTGAAGCCTTAACAGAAATATAAATGGTGTATTAAAAATTAAACCACTTTTGGAATTTTGCGTACTTTTCACTATTTCATTTAAGCAACAAAAACTATTCAGCAAGTTAATTGGAATAAAGGTTGAAACAGAGAGGGCTGGGGGACAATATTAATGTAAAACAAGAAAAGAAAGCTAACTTCGGGCGGAGCCGAAGTTGATATACCCTTGCAATTAAAACCGGATATATATCGCAAACATCGGATATTGTTGGCCGATCCTTATGAGAATATGATAATATAACCCAATTTATTATAATATAAAATCTAAAAAAAGTACCAAACTTCTATCTTCAAAAATACCAAAGTTGGAATTTCTACCAAAAACCATTTCCGATCGTTCAGTTATATGGCAGCTATAAGATATAGTCAGCCGGTCGCTATAAAATTTGGTAGGTCGGATTAACTGACCAAAAATATAATCTGTACCAAGTTCCAGCTTTCTATCTTCAAAAACACAAAAGTTGGGTCAATTCCGATCGTTCAGTTATATGGCAGCTATAGGATATAGTCCGCTGATCCTTATGAGATTTGGTAGGTTGGATCAACTGACCAAAAATATAATCTGTACTAAGTATCAGCTTTCTATCTTCAAAAACACGAAAGTTGCGTCATTTTCGATCGTTCAGTCATATGGCAGCTATAAGATATAGTCGACCGATCCTTATGAAATTTGTTTCATAATGTTTTGCCAAAAATAGCTCTCGCGTCAAATTAAAACTCTCAAACTCTAAAAACACCGAAGTTATACCATTTCCGATCAATCAGTTATATGGCAGCTATAGGATATAGTCGGCCGATCCAAGCCGTTCGGACTTATATACTGCGTGCAAAGGAAAGAAGGGTGTGTGCAAAGTTTCAAGACGATAGCTTTAAAACTAAGCGACTAGTTCGCGCAGACGCGGACAGACAGACGGACCGACGGACAGAGGGACATGCTCATATCAACTCAGGAGGTGATCCTGATCAAGAATATAGGGTTGGAGGGCGGAGATGTCTCCTTCACTGCGTTGTACACTTTTGGAAAAAATTTTAATACCCTCTGGAAGGGTATAAAAATGATCGAGCAAATCCACATTGGCTGTTTCGCTGTTCTGCTAATTGGCATTGGCCATAAAGACATAAATTTCGCAATTAAATTGTGAACTTTAGAGATACGTAGAGCTCTTTCCGTTCAGATTCTATCCTCGAATAGCCCAAAAGCACTATATTGGCACCACTCGATCCAATTCGCTTTCCCTCGCTCACTTCCATCCCATCCATAATATGTCGAAAAAATTATTTGAACCGTGTGGAGTGGCATGGAGAGTCCATTGCAATCCAATGCAAATAGGTTCCCTTTTATCCGATATTACTAATAAAACTTCATTTTTTCTCCCCTTTTTCAGAATGCGGCAAATGCAGAGTAAGCACCAAAAGGTTAAATCTCAACAAGTTCTGCAAAAGAGACTACGGTATGTAAAATATTAAAAACAATTTTTTAATTATATTATTCTTCTTATATATTATATATGTATTTATATACATGCTTTTCATTATTGATTGTTCAATATACTTTTAAAAACCTTTTCCCTGACCACACAAAGCCCATAAACGATAGCTATGATTTTAATCCAGGGATCGGCACCCCAATACATTGATATGATTTTACCGCATTAGTGTTAGTAACGAATAGCAGAAAGTAGGCTGTGTGCATGACGTTTCACACATGTATACTGTGTGTGTGTGGCAGAGCTCGGGCAGAGAAATTTCCTATGCCCCCGAGATAGGGCCGTGCCGACCTCTGTTTTAATCTTATCCTTTATTTGAACAAAAACTTGGTCATTTAAAGATTTATTCACTTCTACTTGAATTTAAAATTCTAGTTTAAATATGTTGCATATATTAGATCGTAGCATGCTACCATTTTTTTTTAAATTTTATTATATTATATGTACCCTTGTAGAGGGTATTATAATTTTGGTCAAAAGTGTGCAACGCAGTGAAGGAGACATCTCCGACCCTATCTCTTGACCTCCTGAGTTGATATAAGCATGTCTGTCTGTCCGTCTGTTTCTATGCGAACTAGTCTCTCAGTATTAAAGCTATCGACTTGAAACTTTTCAACACACCCTTTTTTCCTTTGCTCACAGTTTATAAGTCGGAACGGTCGGGATCGGCCGACTATATCCTATGGCTGCCATTTATATAACTGATTGATCGGAAATGCTATAACTTTGGTGTTTTTAGAGTTAGAGAGTACGGATTTTGAACGAATGATAAATTTGGCAAAATAATACGACATACCAAATAAGGATCGGCCGATTATATCCTGCATAATAATGATACATATTTCCTACGTATAATGATATTCTCTTAAGACAACTATATCGAAAGTTTGCGATATATATCTGGTTTTAAGTGCATGGGTATATCAACGTCGGCTCCTCCCAAAGTTTGATTTCCTTTCTTGTTTGTTTTTTTTTTCAGTTCAAACATTTCAGTTTTTTTTTTTAAAAAGAGTTGTGGGGTTATCTAAAGACTTTAGAATTGTATATGATAAATGACATTAAACATACAATCCTTCTTATTTAACAGTTTAATTTTTCAAATAAGAACAAAGTCCTTCCCCCTTTTCAATTGACAGTTCAGTTATTAGTCATATACATATGTATATTAGTAATAAAAAGGCTTTGATTTATTGATTCCCGTCTTACTCCACAGCAATAATGGCCAAGGTAATTGGCCGCGATACGAGCAGCGAGATGGGCAGCAGGTATCGGGATCCCGACGAGGCGGACTACGAAATGGATCAAGACCAGCCGGGCGCCGTTCCGGCGGAGTACGAATCGCAGGCGGTGGGGTCCGTAACGGACTCGGAGGTGGACTACTCCAACGACAGCGGGGCGGCGCGGTACGATCTGCAAATCCAGGCCATATTCAAACGCAGCAGCTCAGGCAGCAACAACGTCGTGGGGACCGTGTATGGAATGCCGAGTACAACTCTAAAACGCGGTCCTATGACCTTGATCATACCGACTAAACACCTCGCATGCCGATGTCCAAAGATCAAAGTCAACAGGTAGGGATGATCAAATGGTTTTGGTAAAAGTGTTATACGCAGTAAATGAGACATCTCACCCTACCTCGAGACATCCCGATATTTGAAATATATGTATATCTTACAAAAGACAATACAAACGGCCATTAAACTGCAATTTTATATGTATAAGTTTCGGCTCTTCCGTTTATTATTTATTGTGCCACAACCTATTAGATTTCCAAGCCACTTTGGCCTTTGACTCGATAATTTTGTGTATAATAAATTTGTTTCTTAATATTTGAATTTTCGTGTTTATACAAATAAATATGTAAATGTGAAATTGCAAGTTAGTTATGTGGCTTTTAAAATGGGTTGGCATCAAAACATTTTTAAAATACTTACATAAAGATGACATTTTTAAGGACGGAATCGAGCGTGCTAATTAACGCTCTAGTATATTTGTTTTAGAGATCCACGCGATCATACAGACATGGCTAGATTGACTCGACTATTGATGCTGATAAAATATATTTATTCGTTATCAGGTAGTAGATAAATCCTTCTGCCTGCTACATATGAATATTTGTACAAATTAAACATACCAATGGACTTATTTTACGGGTAGTCGGGTTTTACAACCTTAGAGGTTTTAAATACTCTAAAATACTTGTCATGAACACATATTTACATATGGTACATATGTACAGTCGCCAATAAATGAATCATACAAAGTTAAAAACAAATTTTTTAGCCTAAGGTTGTACGAGATGATGGAACAGGAATTATTATTATATATGTATATGTCTATTATATGTATATTTGAATATTTGATAGTTCTATGAAAATTATAGTTTGTTTAAATACATTTTATAAAAGAAAAAATTGTTTTTTGCAGATCTTATTTGATTCTGGGTCGTGATTTGGAGGCTCCACCTGGCTATCTAGGCATCGGGCCGCATTCGATAGTTATCGAGTGGAAAGACGACTGGTATCGACGGATGAAGCGCTTCCAACGGAGAGCGCGCAGCTGTTCGTAATCCCTAGATACTAGATATACCTCCCGACCTACATACTTAGCTTAGCTCCCCGCGTGCATTCTTACAGTATATAGACCTAGAAATGAAACGAAACGATGAGGACTGGATAAGAAAATCAAACCAATATATTTGTCGCTTAAATATTTTTTTGTTTTTTTTTCCATTTAACCGATTTTGTAGCAGCGTAAGATCAAACTAGCGGTATTTAATTTATTTTATTAATTTTAATTGTTACGCACTAATCGGAGATACACCCATGAAAGTATCTATTAATTTAATCTATCTAATCTATATATACGACTTGTATTACTCGCTAAGCTAAGATCCCTGTCAGCCCAGTCTAAGCATTTGTGAACTATATTTGTACTAAAGCAGTCTAAAGCAGCGAATAAGTCGCTAATGAGTAGAGAACTATCCGTAAGAATAAGTATGATGCATGCATGACTCGCAAAAAATCTTAATAAATATATATTTTGTACAGAGCAGAAATCTTAATGGTCAATCTTATTTTTGATATGTAAGGTTTTTTATCCTTGCAAAGGATATTTATAACTTAAATTTTATCAAATAAAAAAAAAACATATATTCTTGATACATATTCTTGATAAGGAACATCTGTTGAGTCCATATACATTACATTTCGTCAAAAGTGTGCAACGCAGTGAGAAGATACTCCGAGCCCTGAAAGTAGATATGTTCCTGATCAAGATCACCTCCTGAGTTGATATATCCGAGCATGACCGTCTGTCTTCAAACTTTTTGAAGTCTTTTGCACACACCCTTCTTTCCTTTGCACGCCGCATATAAGTCAAACGGCCGACTATATGCTATAGCTTCCGATCAATGAGTTCATCAAATTTGACGAGGCTGGACTGATCCCTGACCACCAGTTTAGTTTCAGGCGGCGACACGGCGCCCCAGAGCAGTGCCATCGGGTGGTGCAGTGCATTCTGGACGCATTTGAAACCAAAAAGTACTGCATGGCCGTCATGCTGGACGTGAAGCATGCGTTCGACCGAGTCTGGCATCCCGGTCTGCTATATGAATTAAAGACTGGCCTACCCCGACCATACTTCCAGTTCCTAAAGTCGTTCTTGGAAGACCGGTTAGATGTGGCAAGGCCATCTCCGGTATAAGAGAAGCTCACGCTGGTGTACCCCAAGGCAGCGTTCTTGGCCCGTTGATGTACAATGCTTACACGGCCGACCTCCCTGTTTTTTCGGGTGCTTTGTTGGGGGCCAGGCCTCTCCCTATGGCCAGAACTTCCTCTTCCGTTACCTCCTCACACACTTCATTGTCTGCTGGGGGAGTGGGTAGCTGGATGACCTGGTTGCCGGCTGGGAACAGCGCTTGCACTATGGTCCTTAGTACGTTCGGGTCCGTGGGGGACTGGCCTCCTGCGCGCAGCCTCTTCACCACTATCCGGTACGCGTTGCCCCATGGATTTTTCTCCGCCGAGTCACATAGCTCCTGAAAGCATTTGCTTTTGCTATCTCGAATGGCCACATTCAGTGCTTTACGACGGTCCTTGAAGGCTAGGTGCCGCTCCTCAAAGTTGTCGCTGCCTCTCGCTCTGGCAGTCTCGCTGCATCAACCTTGGTAGAACGTTGGTAGAACGTTGCCGATGTCGCGCGCTGCCTCGGTGAAGTTCCTTACCTGGAGCGTACCGACTCTGTAAGGGCTCGTTCTTAAGGGCTACCAATTGAGCACAATATTGCTTCGTAGTCACTGGCCGTAAAGCTGCCGCTTATCCTCCAGTTAGCGCCAGTCGCTAGCGAGGGGCTTGCGAACGTTAGATCTATGATGGATCCTGCTCCGGCTCTGCTGAAGGTGTGCTGGTTTCCTTCGTTCAGCAGTACGAGATCGAGTGAGGCAAAAGTTTCTCTGACCACTCTCCCTCTCGCATTTGTCCTCGGGCAGCCCAAGTCCTGCGCCCACGGACGTCAGAACGGCCTCTGATGTCGTTTCCCAGGCAGTCTATAATGCGCTCAAATTCATTGCTGCTTAGGCTGGGTGCCATGTAGCAGCTGTAAAGCCATGCCCCACCTATCCGAGCCCTAACGAATCCCTCCGCACTGTGCACTGAGTGCATTGTCGCGCCGGTTGCGCCGCAGCTCCAGATGGCAGCCTTCCCCGATAGGTCAACTGCCCAGCGGTTGTCTGAACCAGTCCTATGGGGCTCGCTTAGGAGCGCTACGTCCGTCTTCGTCTCCCTCGTAGTCTGCGACAGCACATCTTGAGCCGCCCTGCAGTGGTTCAGCTTCAGCTTCAGCTGAAGCACTAGCATCCTGAAGTCCTAGGTCCACCTCCTTTCGCTGACATGGGGCCAGTCTGATGACTCAAATCTTTCCGGTCCTTATCTTCACATGAGGGTCCCTTCAACAGGTGGCCGCCCTATGGTCCGTGTCTCCGCATGTCTATCCTTCAAGCGCTTTTAAGCGCTTGCGATGTGCCCCATCCCAAGGCACCTGTAGCAGCGAGCAACCACCTCCTTTTCCTTCATAGTGCATACCAACCACCCAATCTTCACCTTGCCCACAGCAATGATGGCCTTGGCAAGGCTCCCGGGAAAAGCCACGATAGCGGTCTGTGACTCGCCATAGCTGCTTCTCAGATTTTTTACTTTCAAGGCGCCCTAGTCCACCGCTGCCTGCTGCGCAATAGCCGCGATGATGTCCTCAGGAGTAGCTAGTGCGTCGAGTCCTCGTAGGGCGACTCCTATGGGCGACTCCTTGGTCTCCTCCGAGTAGGCCCTCACCTCTGCCTCGCTCCCTAGGACCGGCTCGATGCAGCCTTAAAGGGCCTGCGTTGAGCTCTCCTTCTTTCTCGCCAGTTCCAGTAACAGCCCGCCCTTGGCTGTCTTCCTCTTCCTTGTTATATTTATTATAACATAAAATCTAAAAAAAAATTCCAAACTTCTATCTTCAAAAATACCAAAGTTGGTATTTCTACCAAAAAACATTTCCGATCGTTCAGTTATATGGCAGCTATAGGATATAGTTGGCCGATCCTTATGAAATTGAGTAGGTCGGATTATCCATGATACAATTATATAAGGTAGTCCATTCCACTGACATATCGTTCGGGTTTGCTCACTTAATTTCAAACTGTCAAACTGAAAGGTGATTTTGTTTTCATAACTTTAACCCTTAAGTGGCCAAGAAAAAAATGACTTTTTGCTATTATTGTCGCAAGAACGTGCTAGGCGTAAAGTTTGTGCATGTTCCAAAGTGCATTGAAAAAAGAGCTTTGTGGGAGCAGTCTTTGGGCTGTACCTTTATTGAGAGCTCTCAAATTTGCGATACGCATTTCAGTGCTTCACAGTGGAAGTCGTTATCAGGCGCAGGGCAGCCACTGAAAAGAAGACGACTTAATTCGACTGCAGTTCCGCAAAAAAAGGCAGAACCAGAAAATTTGGCTGAATTAGGCTACGCCAATTCGAGCACGCAAACAGAGTAAGTTAACTGTGTTAAAAATACAATGTATATCTAAAAGAAATTTATTTGGGACTTAGGGACAAAGCGATAGACCGGGCAATTCATGTAGAAAACAAAAACCTGAAAAAAAAGATAAGTCTTTTAGAAAAGGAAATGCAGTCCTTACGCCAGCAACTAGATGGTTATCAAGATCTAGAAAAGTCTCTAGGCAAAATATTTACTAGTACTCAAATAAATATTTTAAAGAGTGGCGGAAAAAGATCGGATAATAATAATAATGTCAAACTCTAAACTTATAAAAATAAAATTATAAATACTACAACTCTTGTCATAACTAAGAAAAACTTTTAGCCCCATGCTCCATGTAAGGGTTAATCAAAGTACTGTATAGCCGTTTCACTCGCACTATTCAACGCTTACTATGTTAAAATAAAAATAATGCAGTTAAGTCAACGAATGGACTACCTTATATAATTGTATCATGGGATTATCTGACCAAAAATATAATCAGTACTAAGTTCCAGCTTTCTATCTTCAAAAACACGAAAGTTGGGTCATTTCCGATCAATCAGTAATATGGCAGCTATAGGATATAGTTGGCCGATCCCGGCCGTTCCGGCTTATAAACTGCGTGCCAAGGAAAGAAGGGTGTGTTCAAAGTTTCAAGACGATAGCTTTAAAACTGAGAGACTAGTTCGCGTAGAAACAGACAGACAGACGGACATGCTCATATCAACTCAGGACGTGATCCTGATCAAGAATATATATACTTTATAGGGTCGGAGATGTCTCCTTCACTGCGTTGCACACTTTTGACCAAAATTATAATACCCTCTGCAAGGGTATAAAAACAAGCTGGAATCGTTAAATTCGTCATCTTCGAGACAAACATTATTTTCGTATTCGTACGAAAGCATCTCAATTACCTTAATTGGAAGTAAAAGACTCTTTAGTTTTTTATGCATTTCGATAAATTAAGGACGAAATAATTGGATCTGGTGTATCCATAGCTCTGTTGAACACGTCAGCGAAGGAATGTAATCGGTTGTGCTTTCTTGAATGGTGACGCCTGTCTGATTTATACAGCTTGTTTCACGACTCAGACGCTTCTTCTCCAAAATAGCCGACTGAAAGCACCGTATTTTCCATTACTTCCATTAAAAAATGGTGGCTTTTTTCTTTCAAAACGGCATTATCCACATTGTTATTTCCATGACTTTCAAAAAAACATTGTACAGCCATTTGATGCTCAGGCCGGCCCCTTTCGCTGTTCCAAGCAGCGACCAAGTCGGCTTTTGGAGAAAGTGAGGTTATCTAAGAAAAATTCAAATTGCACCAATAGTGGAGAAAAGTGCACAATAAGACTAACAGCCTTTGCTCAGTATTGACAACGCTACAACATACACTTGGGCGCATTGAAAACTTTTTATTCCTTCTATTTCAAAACTCTTCTCAAAGTTGAAATTTGTTTCCCAAAATTCAGCTTAAGGTGCATCTATAAAATGACAAAATTTTAGTATAGACACGCACAATTTAAACAGTTAATACATTTAACATATAGTACAAACCTGTGAAATCAGTGTCTATTACTATTTTTCTTTTTAAATGGAGTTTTAAACAAATAATCTAATTTCACAAATCACTATTGCAAGCTTAGCGCACGTGCTTTCGAATGCAACAGCTGACTTTGCAGCTGTTATGCTAGCATATGGTGCTAATAATTAATATTTTGAGTATGAGGCATAATAGTTTGATGTTTTCTTAATACATTCGCATTAATTTTTTTTAAATCAGAGAACTTTCAAAAAATGATTAAATGCCACATAAAGTGGTCAAAAACCCCATAGTGGAGCGGTATAACTCCCATCGCTCCCGTTAGGAGGAAATTCCAGGCGCACCGATGTAACGCAGTGCAGGAACCCCAACCGCAGCTCTATCCACTCCAAAGGAGACGCCAAAGAGGCCACGGGAGATGCTAAGCCCGGACAAGGACCAGAGGGCGGCTCCACCGAGGAAAAATAAGGCCGGCAGCCCACCGGCAAGAAGCGAAGA